GGAATAAGTTTGTGCTATTTGGAGATAAAATAGCTTTTCACAAAATTTGAGCTAAGCAAGGAACAGAAATCAAATCATAAGAAAAATTCTGAAGACAATGGGGTGAGCTGCTTTCTGGAAAGAAAAGTCTATGTATATATTCAAACTTGGAACACGGGCTGCAGAACAGAGCTAGACTGCTTGTCTTTATCTCTGATTTGCATGTGTATATCTGAATTTCTGTTGTGAGCCTAAACATGTGCATTTGATTTTAGAAGGATTTCTTTTAAATATAAGATTTCAAACAAACATGAACATTATTAAGAGAACCCCAAATCCTTACTGAATTTTCCAGAACTCTTCATTATACAAGAGATTTGGATAACTTGTACATTTTTAAAAATCATCTATTTTAAATATATTTAAAAATAACATTAATATTGCTTCTAATGTTCCATGATTGTGAAGGATTTTTGTATTTTCTTTTTTCAGAATAAATTAATGGATGAAATGGATGGGTACAGTTGTCTTGCTACTCCCCAGTATTGTGTATTTTATATCAATGCATTCAGTGATTGTGAGAAGAGCTCACTACAATTTGTTTGTGCTTTTGTGTCATTGTCAATTCCTGAGGAGTGCCTGCATTAATCCCTGCTGTTTTCCTCACTAAAATTTGGAAGGGATTTGCCATTGCTTGCTTCCTAGTTTGAGAAAGTATGAGTGGCCCAAGATTACCTCATTGGCACTGTGCCTCAGGCAGGAGTAGTATTTATGCTTCCCAATGCCTTAACTGCTACACCAAACATGCTCAGAATTATTTCAGGCAAGCTGGTCGAAGAACTGTATATATATAAATTAATATACTTTCTTACACCTCTGCTGCTCCATGTATTAAATATGAGAGATTATATTTAATAACTTAAAATAGTTAAAGAATTGTTGCTAATGCCATTCAACCACAATCTTATCTTAGATGTCAGCCCTTTGTAGTAGGTGAGATATTCCTAGAATTCTTTTTATTGTTGTAGAGTAGAGTAACAGAATCTTGAACCTCCTCTTTCAGAGTTTATCTGTACTCCATCTTATACTCAACAAAATGAAGGTGAGGTTATTTTAAGTTTCTTTCTCCCATTTTGCTTTTTCTCAAGATCCAATAATCTTTTCAGAGATAACCCTGTTAATAATTCCTTTTTTTTTCCATTCCCCAAAGTCAGGAATACATTCATTTGCAACAATGGAATTGGGTATTAAGAAATTAGATAAAGAAGAAAAGAAGATAAGGCAGCAGAGCAAACAGTGGGGTCTATTAGCACCCAGTTTGATGCCCCAGATCCCCCTAAGTAGGTGGATTTCAGCCATGGATTTCAGCCTGGCATTTAGGGATTGGGAGAAGCTTAAGAGCAATGTAGGTGCCTTAAAAATTGCTGAGATTTAGGATGCCCACTTGATCCATTAAAATACCAGCTAAACCCTTATTCTATGAACTTAACTTTACTTTTGGAATAGGGCCCTTGACATGGCTGTGCAACATCTGATGTGACCATCAAGGCAACCTGTTTTAAAATAGGTTTAATACAGATATTCAGCTGAATGCACCCAGATTCCTCTTAATGCTATGACAGTTTAAGAAAAATTCCACAGACTGGCCAAATACCATTTGATGCTCTTAGCAATAAACTAAAGTTCGGTTTCTAGATACAAGGGATTTTCCAAAGGTTAAACAAAGCAACTTTAGCATCTTGTGTAACTGAACATTCTATACTGAGGCAGCAGTTTACAAAGGAATATTAATATAGGTGATAAGTAGAATATAGCTTGTTAGTCTTATATGACAGGAGATTCAATTACTTGAGAATAGAATACATTTGGTGGCACTTAGACCAGTTTGGTCTAATGGTTAAGGAACAAGCTAGAAACCAGGAGACTAAGTTCTAGTACCACTTTAATCACAAAAGCCAGCTGGGTGACTTTTGGCCAGTCACTCTCTATAAACCCAACCCATCTCACGTGTTTTGTGTGGAAAATAGAAGGAAGGAGTATTAGATATCAATGAAGGAAAATATTTGTAGCTCAGGGTTGAAATGAGGGGGTCCTTGGTGCTCTTTGAGCTTGCTTGTTTTCTTGCAGACGTTTCATTACCCTAACTAGGTAACATCATCAGTGCTAGTAAGGAGTGCTGTTTGCTACCAGTTTATATTCTGGTGTCTTGCCTGTCTAGGTGGGTAGGGGTGGTCTTAGGAAGTCTTTGTTTGGGTTGTTTACTAATGGCTCTGTGGAAGTTTCTTGATTGGGGTATTGCTTACTTGATTGTTGGTATGAAGGTGACCTTGGAGTTAATCTATGCTGATCTGAGTGCTGATTACTGGTGAAGTGCTGGAGTCTTTTTCTCTTTTGGGCTGGTGGATTGTCTCTTTGGCATAATCTATATCTAATGCCTATGTATCTATTGATGGCTGTTTTGTCAGAGTGCCAGGCTTCTAGAAATTCCCTGGCATTTTTGGATTTGGCCTGGTCTATGATTGTCACATTTTCCCAATTGAAACTTTGGTTAAATCTATCTATATGTTGTGAAATTAAAGAATTTTCATCATGTGTTTTGACTGCCAGTTGGTGTTCATGGATGCATTCTGCCTGTTTGTCCTACATGTAGGACAAGATGGACGGAATGCATCCATGAACATCAACTGGCAGTCAAAATGCATGATGAATATTGGCTTAGCATGTGTTGTGGACATAATATGTCATGTTTATACAGGTATCATGTTCTAATAATTCAGGTTTAAGGATTGGGATAATCTGTAAACCAAGCATATCTGTATTATAGGAGAGAATTCAAAGTTGGTATCTATTTAGGGGCATTCTGAGTTTGTAATTGTTAAATATTTTATGGACTTATTCCACCCATATTTATAAGACAAAAAGACCTCTTTTTTCAAATTTCAAATTTTTATTTTTATTAACATTTTCCTTTATACAGTACATATTCAGCAGACTATGTCATTTTTATATACTATGGATCTGCATTCTATACAATATATACACTATCTACATTCAATCTAACCCACAATAATCTAATTTGCACAATAACTTTATGTATATTTCCAATTCTTGTTCCTGTTTTCTATCCAAAGACCTCTTATGTTGAGTGTTAATACTTGATTCATATTTCATTATGCATTGTACAAAATTTTCATCTTTTGTCATGTATTCCTTATCAAAAATCAAAACTATATTATTAATGCAATATTTTAGCAGACAACCAAAATGTCAAAAACAGTTTTCAAGTTTCTGAATTCCCTAGAGTAGGCAAATATCTTTGTTTCTCCTGGAAGGCAGACTGAAAACTCCATGACTTATTGGGGACTTGAATCCAGAAGTCCTCTGTGCTATTTTGACATTATAATCGCTATTTAACATTAGCTCTCCTAGCTCTAAAAAACCACAATTGCAATTCTCTCCCATTTCAGTCATTGAAATAAATCAGTTCCATTGTTGTTTTAGTGAATTTTTTTGAATGGTTAACTAAGTGAATCAACATTCAAATGAAATTGTCAAGCTCATCTATATATACTTTGTTTTGATTAGTTTGTTATTTTCTGAACTTAGGTTTAAAAAGAATAAAATGTCCTTTTTATGTTTACATTACTATTTGTTTTGTTCTCAAGATTTCTGTTTAACATGTGACATCACAGATTTTCATGGATGTTTATCATTTTTCACCTTGAAAATTGGCACAGATCTTAACCATTGGATAGAAGTATGCTCCATTTGGTTATCCAAATATATGATGTAATTGGTCTCTGTATTTCCTCACTCCCTGAAGGTTCACTGTATTCCCTGATTTATCCACCTGTGTTGGACTAGAGGGTTTTTTTTGCAACAGATGTGACGCTTGGGAAAGATTGGCTCATACACAACTCATATAGAGTTGGAGCAGTTTGACAGTGGAAATAAGGTGACTCAAGTTGACCTTGGTTCCATAGTACAGACCTTTAGTTCTGCCACTTAAATCTCTTTGAAATCAGTGAGATTTTAGACAATGTAAATTGTTTTGTAAATAGTAAATTCTGGTAGTATTTGAATCTGAGAAAGGGCAAGGCAAGGCTTTGGTGAAACTCATAAGCTTCTATCCTAATTCTTCTCAATTCTTTCCAAATCATGCATTATTTTGGCCTCTAAAAACTATGTCAAAGAGGCCCTCATAAAAAAATGAGAACACCAGGTCTATTTTAGCTCCCTTTCTCCTATCAATTATTTACATAGGTATAAAATTTCAGTCTAGTTAGAGACTGGATTATCTTTTTCAGGTGGGCAAATAGCTTTATAGTGGCGTTAGCCCTGCATGAATGTATGTAATGAGCCAATTTATGGCCCCTTTCAGAAGCTTTGGCAGGAGATAATGAGGCCATTACAAATATCTGACAGATTAATTCCCCTGAATTATTTGGAATTTAAGTGCTGAAACTACATAGAGATATGGCTAAATGTATAATGTCATATTATTGCATTTTAGATTGTTTTTTCACAGTTTTGTAGTAGCAGTATAGTTTTATTCATAGCATGTGCAGCCTTAATCCTTTACATTTTTACAGTAGTAGGTTTGTTATTTTATTTATTGGATTTCAATGCTGTCTAATCCCCCCCCCCTCATGAATCCGAGTGTCATACAGTATTTAAAAGACTACTTAATTCAAAAGGGCCATGATTGTCTGGATAAAATTATATAAATGAAATGGTAATAACAGATCTGAGAATAGACCTAGGTCTTTCTTAAGAGCTTCCTGGAACATTTCGAGAATTGAGTCATTCATATCTCTCGAAGGATGCTGTTTCAGAGTGCAGGATGGAGATGAGTCAAGATGGCATAGGAAAGCCATTTGTAGGCCATATGATTCCATCCCACTATCAGGCACCATTTTGGAAGCAGCTGCTCAATTGTAGCTCTCTGACAATTGCTGTTCTCACCATGAAACCATGTGCCCTAGGGATGGAACTGTTCCTGACTACCTGCAGAGATGTTGAGGGGTGGAGCAGCCTTACCTTCTGAGTATCTTCCAAAGGTAAGTGCAAAATTGGGGTAGGGACAAGAGTGTAGGGCCTAACACAGTGGTTCTCAACCTTTTTAATGCTGCGACCCCCAACCGGTCGTAAGTCGAGGACTATTCAACCGGTCGCAAGTCGAGGACTACTCAACTGGTGCAGCACCGTTTGCAGAATGGGACTTTTGGCGGGCTCAGCAGGGCAGAGACAGCCTGGACAATTCCTATTGGCTTTCAAAAGCCAATAGAATTAGACTCTATTCAAGAGAGTCTATTCTATTGGCTTTCAAAAGCCAATAGAATAAAAGGGAGTAGCACAACTAAGGAAAAGGGGGGAAAAAATGGCGGACTGTGTTGTTTGGCGACCCCCATGAAATGGTCATTCGACCCCAAATGGGGTCCCGACCCACAGGTTGAGAACCACTGGCCTAACAGGATAGGAACAGACCTAAGGCCTTCAGTGACCTGGTGTGTATGTGTGTGTGTGGGGGGGGGGCAAGGACTGCAAAGACCCTGAGGGGTAAGAAGAGGAGCCCAGAGTGCCTCAGGAGGTGGCAAGATCTGTGACAGGTAAGTCTGGGCAAATGGTATGCATCCCAGGGCCTCCCTAATTCCTGAGATACCCTATGCTCTGCTTAATGACCTGTGTGGTTGCTTAAGTAGGAAAAGCTGAAAATTCTGGTTACGTTCAGAACAGGTTTCTAAATTCAAGTACAATAAAAAGAAATATCACATTGCATGAAGTTGACATGTGATCTTTTTGGTTTTGGCTTTTTATGTTTTGCAGACTCAACCACTTTGGTTTGTAAATAGTGTTTGTGGCTTAGCACATGGTGTAATCCCAGATGTCTGCTTGAGATGAGATAAGAAAATGCAAAGTCAAATAGAAAAAAGCTTTTTGAATCGGTAAAGAGTATAAGTGAAGAGTTCTACTCAAAACGAGGCATCCATCTGCTGAATTGAATTCCTCAAGGACAAAGTCTATAGAACATAATTGACAGATGTCTTCTTTCCTTTAATCATTCTCAGATTTCACCTCTGGCAATCTAATTAAAAATGGGATAGCATCTGAACAACAATATTTTATTATTTTGGTTTGTTACACAAAAGGATAAATGTTCCCACTGGATTTGGCATTTTAGTCCATCTACGAATCCCTACCAAGAACCTGGAATAGGCAGATATGGACGTGTTAAGGGTATCATTGCAGGATGTAAGCTGTTCTGAAAGCTGACTTTTGCAATTCCACCCATGTGCCTCTTACTATTGGTACAGTTAGTCCTCGACTTACAAGCACAATTGAGCCCAAAATTTCTGTTGCTAAGTGAGACAGTTGTTAAGTGAGTTTTGTCCCATTTTACTTTCTTCCCACAGTTGTTTATATGAATCCTTGCAGTAGTTAGTAACATGGTTGTTAGGTGAATCTGGATTCCCCATTGATTTTGCTTGTCAAGTCACAAATGATGTGATCCCATGGCCCCAGGACAATGCAACCATTATAAATATCTGAAACTTCTGAATTTTGATCAGGTGGTGGCCGAGGGGATGCCGCAACGATTGTAAGTGTGAAAAATGTTCATAAGCCACTTTTTTCAGTGTCGTTGTAACTTCAAATGGTCACTAAATCAATGGTTGTAAGTTTATTTAGTACTGTTGTACTACTTTGCTTCCTTTGTCTTTCTATTTCTATTCTGTTATCTTCTCCAGTTCTTTCTCTCCTATTCTGCTGTCTCCAGGTACTGCTACGTCCACTATTCAGACTTTTTTGGTTTTTCTCATTGACATTTGTTAAGTCTGAGATGTTATGTGACAGGTGCCTGTCTGTTTGAATTCTAAAGCCTCAAAGCACTTCGGGTTCTTTATTTTCTGTTACTTTCTCCATTTTATGGCCCCATCAGTTCTTGCTTTCAGGCAAATGCAGATCTTTCAATGCACCATTGTTGCTACTTTGTCATGCCATTGTTTGTAGTCAGTCTTTTTGTAGCAGCTAACCAGTCTATTATTACTGTATTAAATTTGTTTGCTGCCTGTTTTGCGGTGTGACGTGAGTTTGAGGCAATATTTGCTTTTATTGTAAAGCTTGTCTGTCTTATAGTATTTTCATTTCGCAATACTGATTTCTTGCTTCAACTTTTTGTTAGAATCATGTCTTTGACCTCTACATGGGGATCAGAAGATCAAAGTAGTGAATGGCTACACCACAGCATTTTCCTTGGAAGCATCCCCCACCTGTTCCCCTCAACACGCATGCAGACACACACACACACACACACACACACACACACACCCATCAAGTCACATGGTAAACTTATAGACATGGCAAGTCACATATTATGTATTACTGGAAAATAAACTAATGAAGACACCCCGTAGTTCCTCTAGGACAGGGGTCTGCAACCTTGACAACTTTAAGACTTGTGGACTTCAGCTCCCTGAATTCCTCAGCCAGAACAGCTTAAACTTTAAAGTCTTAAAGTTGTCAAGGTTGCAGACCCTTGCTCTAGGGTTGAGAGTGGCAGGTTGAGAGAGTCCTTGGGATCTGCAAGGCTGCTGGGGCAAGGCAAAGGCCCCAGGATCAGCACTTCTGGCACACCTGGAAGAGAAAGGAGGAGGAGTGGGGCAGAGACAGGAGAGGCTATAAAAGGAGGCAGTTTGGGTGGCAGCCTTTGGAGGAAGAGTCAGATGGAGCTGCACCGAAGGTAAAAGAAGGAGGAGGAGGAGGAGAGGTAAGAGAGGAGAGGACAAAAAACAGGCCGGGTATGCACACAGGTGGCAGAGACAAACAGGTAAGAAATGCAGCTGGGGACAGGTCGTGGCATGAGAGTCCTTCCTTCCCTCCCTCCCTCTCATTCTTCCTTCCTTCCTTCCCTCCCCCACCCTGTCCAGGAAGGGACAAAGGGAGGGGGACAGGCACCCGTGGACTCCAGGGGAGGGGACACTGCAAGTGGCATGAGAGTCCACGTTACCTGCTCTACGTCACCCAGATGCCACCCTGGTTTCAGCAGGCAGCACCGCATTCTCCTCACTGCACGGAGCAGCTGGGTGTGGCGAACCGGCGACATGCCAAATCTGCCTGTGTGCCGGTCACAGCGTCCCCTCCCCTGGAGTCCACGGATGTGTGAAGAGGGCGAGGGCCATTTGCTGGTCTCCTTCAGGGAATGCCTATTTTTCTCCCTCATTACAAATATCTTCCCGCCACTCTGCTCTTAACATTGTGCGGCTCTTGTCCCGCAATTTACAGTGGTCTTTCAAGCCATGGCCACTGGCAGCACAGCCACCAGCCACGCTGGTAACCTGTCCCCCTCCCCTTGTCCCTTCCTGGGCACGGAGGGGGAGAGGGAAGGAATAGACAAAGAGGAAAGGAAGGAAGAAAGGGAAGGACAATGAGAGGGAAGGACAATGGAAGGGAGGGAAGGAAGGAGGAAGGGACAAAGAGGGAAGGAAGGAATGAAGGAAGGAAAGAAGGGACAATGGGAGGGAGAGAGGGAGGGAAGGAAGGCGCCCACGCCTGTCCTACCCCCCCTACACCAGAGACGCACGGATTTCCCCCCACATCCCTGCCTGCACCCCCCACAGGTACCCCGCAACCTGAGTGATGAGCTGGCCACGCCCTCCTGGCCATTGACTTCGCTTATTAAAAAGGTGATCACATGATCCTGGGACACTGTGACCATCATAAGTATGAATCAGTTGCCAAGCACATGACCCTGGGGATGCTGCAACAGTCATAAATGTGAAAAATGGTCATAAGTCACTTTTTTCAGTGCCGTTGTAACTTCAAACAGTCACTAAGCGAATTGTTGTAAGTCGAGGACTATCTGTAGTTTATCATTTTTTTCCTTTTTTTTTTTTTTGATCATCATGTTTTTGACACCCTGCTAGGCAACTGGTGGTACTCGGATATTGCCTTATCCTAAAAGTGGTACAATAGGTGAAAAGGTTGAAAAGCCCTGGACTAGGGAGTGCCTTTATTGGTTTACTCTCCAATAAATGCGTAATATATGACTTGACACCTCTATAAGCTTGATAACTTGATACATTTGGCCAGGGAGTAAATATCAGAGAGCACCTACATATTCTCAATTTTTCAAATATGCTACAAATTAGAAAAGGCTAAGGGCCATAATGCATCTACAATAGTCTCAATTCTCAGCAATAGATTTATTGATAACTTTTCTTTGAAATCGATACACTTATATTTCAGCTTGCAGGTCACACCTGGTCCAATCCAGGAGGGAACTGGAGCTCTATGTGCATAGAAATCAAGAACAAAAAAAAAAAAATACTTGGAGAAGATCCCTGTAGACTGTTCGATGTAGATTAAGTCATTGGAGCCCCTCTCCCTCTTAGGAAGTGTAAATCCACAGCCTAGGGGTCTTAGTATGTTGATCCATTGTATAGTGTTTTGTTGGAATGGAACAGAACAGAACAGAATAAAATAGCTTTATTTGGCCAAGTGTGAATAGACACAGAGGGAGTTTGTCTCCAGTGCAGAAGCTGTCCATGTGCATGCAAAGCATCATAATGATGCAGATAAGAAGGAATAGTAAATAAGATAAGAAGAATATAATAATGCTATGGCATTATAATAAGGATAAATGTACATAGAATTAGATAGTACTGTGAGAATTAGGTGTTCAGTGGTGTGATAGCACGGGGGGGGGGAGAGAGAAATTGTCCCTTTGTCTAATTTTGGTATGCAATGCCCTATAGTGGCACTTTGAGGGGAAGAGTTGAACAGTTTATATCTCGGATGTAAGGGGTCTATAGATATTTTCTCAGTCCCCAAATACCTTTTAATTACAGATACCTCTTTACCTTTAGCACTGTCCAACCATCAGAAATAATTTTTAAAAAAACAACAGGGATTGCAAAGTAACATAGCTAAGATATTTCTCACTTTACTGTACTATGTTATATATTATACAATGAGGTACACACTCACCTGAAAAATAGCTAACTGCATGGCTAGCACATGTCTTCTTGTTTTCGTTTCTGTTGGCTTACAAAAGATTGTTTTGATATTTATTTTCTGTTTTAGGAATTATGAAAAAACTTAATGATGAGTGGATATAGAAATACAGTAATTCAATATAATTTACCTACTTAAAAATGTTTTGTTCTCCTTTGAAGCTTATTTTGTCTTGAGGTTCTACTTCCTTAGTCAGTTATCTTCAATAAGCACAACACAAATAATGACTGTTTCTCTGCTAACTACCAAAAGAATGCGAAAATGCTGTTTGCTGTTGTCACATGAATATATGATGTTGAATTATGTTAACATCACTCTTTTGGTATCTCTGGGGTGGAAAGGATAGAACCTGGTGAGAGATTAAATATCTTTCAATCATAAATATCTTTATACTTCCAAAACAATGTCCAGAAATGTTTTAAGAATTGCTTGTCTTTTTCTGTTCTGACCCTGGTTTTGCCATATTATGTGAACCAAAATTAAGACTAGCTTGAACTGCTGTTTTGCAAGTTCAATTTTACATCTCATGGGTATGTATAAGTGGAGGTTCCTTTATAGGTCCATGGCCTGTTAGGAACCGGGCCACACAGCTGGAGGTGAGCGGCAGGCAAGCGAGCGAAACTAAAATTGTCCTCTACCCAGTCTGTGAAAAAATTGTCTTCCAGGAAACCAGTCCCCGGTGCCACAAAAAAATGGGGGCCGCTGTTTTGTAGAACCATACAAGAAGTAAAATATGCTTTCCACAACCTATTTGAGATAATTCTAGAACTTACTTTGGCCATCATGTACATTTTTTCTCTCCCCCCCCCCAATGAAACTTGTTGGAGAGCTATCATGAAATGAGATATCAGAAGATCTTGGAGGGAGACTAACAACAATTTTCCAAATTACTTTGTGCAGTACTCATGATAAATACTTAGTGTGTCATAAGATATGATGAATAACATGCTCGTGTCTCATAATCATTATTGTACCAGCCTGCTGGAAACTTGATGTACAGTGGCATTAGTAATTTTTGCTTTATGGTCATAAAGCATTGCTTGTTCTAGTACCTGTGTTTTATTTTAAAACTCTGCTTGCTTATGTTCTTAATTCAGTTCCTGAACATTTTGTTTACTTCTGCACTCAGCTAAAATCTGGCTGGGATGTGTTTTTAATCATTTCAGCACTAAGGACTAAGCAAACATAATTAAGCTTCATTTGCAAAGAATGTGATTGAACACTTCTGCAAAAAGCTCTTGCTTTCACTGAGTGTAGAAGAAGTGATCAGAATGTACTTTCCATGTACAAGATCCTATGTCTCAACACTGGCATTTTCAGGAGGGCTACAAAAAAGTCAAGTTTGGAAGAAACATTCTGTTAGGCCAGGAATCAGTCTAAATATACAATGCTACCTAGATAGAAAGTAACTTGCCATTGAAAAACAGCTTGCCATTGAAAAATAGTTATTTATTGGGCAATCTTCAGAAAGCTTAAATCACTCAGATCTGATTAGTACTTACATGGTACTTGGTTAGGACATATAAAAAAAGATGCTATAGCTTGGGAGTACATGCTCAGCTAGTGAAGACAGCAGATCTGTTATGCTCACTATACCATTTTGAAGCTGTTTTGGCTATTTGCAGAGTTAATATAGTTCATTACAAACTGGCTTGGAAGCTTCCATACCTTCTTCACCATAGATAAGGGAGCAACAACTGTTTAAAGGGCATTTTGGACCAGTGTTTCTCAAACTTGAGCAAATTTAAGATGTGTGGACTTCACTCCCAGAATTCCTCAGCCAGCATGTGGTTTAATTAAAACATAAAGTGAAGTTTGGATAGAAATGTGGGCTAATGAAATAATAAACATGCCAATATTTTTGGGTGTTTAATAAAGTTGGGTAACCAACATTATTTGTCTTTTGTTGTCTTTTATCCAAGGGCAGAGCTCTTCAATTGCACTAAGAGGGTGGCATAGCATACCTCTTTTTTTTCTATTGCTCGTGGTTAATGCAATTTTTGATTCATTTGATGTATTATCTCCCACCACGATTTGGAGACAAATTAGTATGCATGGCAGAGCATGTAAATTCAACATCATATCTCAAGAAAACCATGTAAGCATGTGGTTGTCTGAGTATTATTATCTGTGTTCCCTGACTTTTCCCAATGCAAAGAAAGAGACATGTTAAGAGAAACTCCATTCCTGTTTGGTCTGATAGAGATTTGACCATGCAATATATATTTTGACTGCAAGAAAGAGAGAGGAATCTCATTTTTGAATAAGGAAGGGCCACAAAAGCATCACATTCATTTAAAGTCTGTCTTTTTAATATATTTTCCTCTGCCTATGAACTATACACCAGTTTTTGTACAATTAGATTTATGCTAAAATATATTTTTCCCCTTGGCATTTAAGATTTCATAATAGTATTTTTGAGTTACTTTCAGAAAATGTCATATCGTTTGTATGTTTCTTATATTGTTTTACATGTTTTATTATTTTAATTTGTTGATTTTTTTTTCTTGCACACTGCCCAGGTATACATCACATGATATGTGACAGAGAAATGTTTTAAATATCTAATAAGCAAGCATGGGAGCGACAGTGCTTTCAATTTTTGTTTATTACATTAGTTTTTTCCCAAAATGCTTTGGGCAGTTTACTTCATCTTTACAATAATCCTATGAAGTAGGAGAAAAAGTCATTGGGCCAAAGCCATTTAGAGAGGGTTTCATGGCAACATATGAGATTCAAACATGTATCTTTCCATTTCACTTCTCTGACTATTCCAAAATACGGAACTGGCAAATTATATAATACTCTTCTCAATGGTAGCATATTTCCGATGCGAGAATTAGTTTGATATAAGTAGTTAGAACACCAGGATACAAAACAGTAAGCTCCAAGTTCAAGTTCCACTTTAGGCATAAAGCCAGCTTGGTGACCTTGTGCCAGTCAATCTTTCTCAGTTCCCAAGATGCAGTCAATGGCAAACTACTTCCAAAATCATGCCAAGAAAACTGCAAATGTTTAAAAAATGGCCCAATTCCTTCAGTTGTATTTAACCAGAGTTTACTACTTTTTATATTTTAGATTGATTTACATACGGCTTTGAAGATGACTCCAAAGCATGAAAAACAGGTAAGAACTGCAATATTACATTTTAAAAACACTAAGCTGGTTTTTGCCTCAGTGAAAGTAGACATACGACCAACTGCTATGAATGAACTGTGCAACTCAAGTTCCCCTTTTCAGATATTTTTGGTAGCATCCTAGGATGTGAAGAAGATTGTGTAACTACTAATCTGAAGAAATGGTAAAAATTCCTTTTCACTAAATACGAAATGCTTAGAGCCATACAGCTTTTGAAAGTTGCAACCAGAGGAAATTTCACTTTCTGCTTCTTAAGGTTTGAAAGCAAAGAAAAACTAGAGACTTTTGGCATGTATATTTCTTTAAAATATTAAACTTTATTAAAGTAATTTTCCCCAAGTGAAATTTCTGACTACTAGTGAATAGAGAGGTTAGAGATGTTCTTGACAAAATGTCTCTATTCCCATCATTGGGCCCTGATAATTTTACTTGGCAGTAGGAGTGATGCTAGTCAACTAAGTCAAGCCTCTCATTTTAATTTTCTACATGATTCTGGTAGGTAATGCAGAAATATTTTTCTTGTAGGTGAACAATTACACTGTTGCTATTAATCTTCTTAGCCATTTTCCCCCTTTGCAAACATAGCTTCTATTTGTACAACAAGTGTGTTTTGAATGTTAAATAACTTTGGTAGATACACACACACACACACACACACACACACACACACACACACACACACGGATCCCTCCCTTCCTTTACAACAATAGAGTAAGAACTAAAACTAAGCTGTCTATCTACAGAATGTATATTTGTAATATTCATAGTTTGAGAACCATGAACGTTACAGAGACTTGATTATGAACCTGAACAGGGATGTTATTTCTTGTGTATTGTCCTTAGTGCAATTAATATATGAATGAAATTTATTGAGACTTTCTCTTTTTTGGGTATCTTTGTAACTCGGATTTCTGTTCTTCCTTCATGGTAAACCAGATTCAAAAACCAATACCAGGTACATCAGTACTACCATTATTATTATAAAATCTTGCAAATATGCATTCAAGCCAGCTGCTTACCTTTGCTGGGTCCACTTATTGCCGTTCTCCTGGTGCTTGAAGGCAAAGGGAGTGGTGGAAATGGCGAAAGGGAGTGGCTGGCTTTGAGTGTGGTGAAGACAAAGTGGGAGGTGAGAAGCAGAGCACGAAATGCATTTGGGCATGGGGGATGCCTTGAGAGACCCTAGACAGAACTTGATCTACTTCAGCCATTGCTTCCTCTTGGGCCCAAGGCACTCTTGTCTGCTTAACAATCCATACATTTGTTTAATGACTGCATTGGGGAGAGCAGGGATTAAGTGAGATGATCACATAACAATCATCTGACTTCAATCAGTATAGGGGAGGCTCCATTACAGCCATAGGCCAAGAACTTATTAAAATGTCTAATTAAAAATAGTGTCCAATCTTTAATATACATTATATAAATCTTAAGACCAAATTTATTTTGACTTTTTATTTATTTATTTATTTATGAGACTTATATACCGCTTTAAGTGCAAGCACTCTCTAAGCGGTGTACACCAGTAAGTATATATATATATATATATATATATATATATATATATATATATATATATATATATATATATTTACATTGCCCCCAACAATCTGGGTCCTCATTTTACCTACCCCGGAAGGATGGAAGGCTGAGTCAACCTTGAGCCGGTGAGATTTGAGCCGCTGACCTGCTGAACACAGTCAGCTAAAGTGGCCTGCAGTACTGCACTCTAACTGCTGTGCCACCTCGGCTCATTTTTGCTTTCCTTCTATTAGAGTTAGTCTTACCTAATGGTTCCTTGGGGAACCAGTTTGGTATAGTGGTTAAGGCATGAAGATAGCATGAAGCCAGCTAGATGAACCTGGCTAGTCCCTTTCTCTTAGACCTAGGAAGGAGGCAATAGCAAACTACTTCTGAAAAACCTTGCCAAGAAAACTGCAGAAACCTGTCCAGGCAGTTTCTGAGAGACTCAGACATAATTGAAAAGAATAGGGGGAAAAAAAACAACACTTTACTACAGAGCATGCAGGAATTGAGTGGTAAATAATGTGATTTGAGGAAGAAAATTGCTGAATTGTCAACATGTTTTGTAACTAACTGACATTTTTTCCATTGTTGCTTCCCCTCCCTCTTTAGAGGTCTACTTCCCTCTGGCATCCTGGTTAGACTGCTTCTTTTCTTCAACCTGTCCACTAGGAAAGGCTGCTTAAGTGACAGACCCAAAGCTGCAAGGCTACAGAATCTACCTTGGCTTGGATATCACTTAATGATACATGGATATTCTCCTATTTGGGTTTGCACTGTGGCGCAGCACATAATGGCATTTACTGGACTTATTTCATGCCCACATTAGACCTTTTTGTGCTCACAGTAACTTTTTACTGTGCTCTTCATTTCTTGGTTATACCGCAATTTGCTATATATTAAACAATTAATGTATAAGACTTAGACTTGGAATTGAACCTTTTAAACAAATACCTTTTTAATCAGTAGTTCAAACATTGTTTTTCAACATCAGCAAACGTATTTATTATTTCTGAGTATTATGATAAGTTAGCTGTAAAGAAATAATGGCATTTGTTTCCATTAGTTCAGCAGCAGTTATGGCCTGAAGGAGACTAATTGAAAATTACAAAAACATTTATTTGTAAGAAATACATTTCCTGGTTGGAAATACACATTGTTATCTAATTTAGAATTTCCCCCTTGGCTGGTTGACAAGAAATTTCCCAGGCCAGCAGAGATGAGTCATTGCTTTTCAAAGTAGTTGATTGGTGTTACATTTGTTTCAATGTTGTTTTTCCTCTTTCAGAATTATTACTAATACATATAACTTAGAGTGACAAAAACATTTCCAGTCAGCAGAGAGGACAGCTTTGTTAAGGCTCTTTATCCATTAATTGCTTTATTATGCTCTTGCAGGAATTTGTAACAGTATGGGTGCGAGATCCCAAGTTACAGAAGGAAGATTTTTGGCATTCCTATATAGATTATGAAATCTTCATTCATGTAAGTAGATGTGCTCTTTTAAGGCATTTCTAGCCATAATCTCTGAATTATATATGTGATAAGCTATGTGGAGGGTGCTTATGAGAAATGCATTAGCCATCCCAATTGTGGAATTTAAGAATTTTGAAATATGGTCTATTCTTTTCTTGAAGTCTACAGATTGGGGAAGGCTGCCTTAGAAAATAAGGTAAAGGGCAGAAGGCTTAACAGCAGCTTTCCTAGTTTAAATTGCTACTCAAATCATCCCTGGCCAGTATATCAAAAGCTGACCCTACTTTTCAAGGATTGAATCATAAGTGCATTTTTTGGTTTAAAATATTAAAGGGATTAGTGTTTTTTATTTTTTTATTTTATTGATTTCATTGTGATTTCTTGTTTGATTTTTGTGAGCTGCCCAGAATTGTTTAGTTGCATATGTGCTCAATAAATTATTATTAATTGATTTCTCTGGACCTCCTTTTCTTTTTTGCCTTACTGAATTGTTTTATTGATTAGATTATGCTCCTTTTTTTTGCAGAAAAAATGTTTATAAATTTGCACATCAATTACAGTACAACAAAGGAGAAGTTAGAAGTTAGAATTTATAATGTTTATATAATTTTTTTCTAATTATATTTAGATTTTTAAATAATAAATAGTGAAGAGTTTAACACTTATCAGAGAGATTCAAATCCTTATTCATATTGTTAAAGTAATTTAATATACCTTGTTTTTATAGTGAATATCTCATCAATAATAATCCAAGCACTAATTGTACTAGTTTGGTAATTCCATTTCTTTTTCATATTTTTCTCCATTTGCTTGCTCATTTGCTGTTTTTTTCTTTTAAAATTATTGATAAACATATAATTTTTTAAAGGAAAAAATATAGAAAATAGTGACAAGGATTTCAATAATCAATGTCAATAGTTCACATTTTTTAAAAAAGGCTAAATATTCAAAAATAATAATTAAAATTTTTTTATTAAAAGTTTTAGAAATTTTTTACAGTATATGACCCAAATCCCTCCCCCCTCCCCCCTCCCCCCCTCCCCAGAGCTGATTACAGGGTTACAAATAAGCAATCATAATCTAACTAACATTATCCAACTCTACTAACAATCAAATCCATAACATACTTTAACTCCTTTTCAAAATAAATATTAACAAATTGAAAACCAAAAATAATATAATTAAACAATAATACTAAAAATAATATAAATTCAATCATATTAAACTATTAAAAATAATCTAAAATTTACTCATAAGCTAAATAATACTTTTTAGTCTCATATTTATTCTGGATATAATCTATCCATCTTCTCCAAACCAAAATATATCTTTCTTGTGAATAATCCTTCAAATAAGTGGAAATTTTTGCCATTTCTGCTAAATTAGACACCTTGAGTATCCATTCTTCCATAGTAGGCAAGATTATGCTCCTTTTTGTAACTCTTCACACTTAAGTCAATACCTTTGCTCTTATTACAAGAAAATCCTGCTTTAGTAACAAAATCTTGGAAATCTTGAACGTGCATTCAGTCCAGCTGCTTACTTTTGCGGTTCCATTCTCTGCCATTCCCTAGTGCTGGAGGTCAAAGGTAGATGTGGAAATGATAAAAGTAAGTGAGTGCAATAAAGGCAAAGTGGGCGGTGAGAAGCAGAGAACAAAATGCCTTAGGGCATGGACGAGGCCTAACAGGTATAATAATATATATTTAGATCTAGAAGTAGAAATAGAAATAGATTTAGTGTCATGGAAAGGCTGAGGAATTTTGTGTACTGAATATTTATACTGAATATTTTAACATTTTTACTAAGATTTTTGTTTGGATATTTTTTCAATATAGAGCTATCCTTTATAAAATGTAAAAACCCTCTCACTGGGTAAAGGAATATATAGAGATGGAACAAGAAAGAAAGTTCAATGGAAAATTTCAATCCTTTTGTTTAATTCTCCCCCTTTTCAGGAAATATTTTTTTTCCTTGTTAGATGGGAACAGAATGTTTCTCATGCTTCCTAGGAAACAGAATCAGTTTAGAAATGAAGGTATGGCGCATTCATTAGCTAACTATTCAGACTATCAGTATCTTGGATTGCAGATTATTGCTTCTGGGAAAACACTGTGTCACTAAACTCAACTAATCAAACACATTCTGTATTTCTGTAGACAAATAGCATGTGTTTTACAATAAAAACATCTTGTGTTCGACGCCGTTTTCGAGAATTTGTGTGGCTCAGACAGAAACTTCAGAGCAATGCTGTATTAATGTAAGTAATTTACAAAACATTGAAATAATTCAAGATTTATATAGCGGTACCCACCCATGATAATCCTAATTGGAATCTGGCACATTTACAGTGAATAGGTAGAACCAGTAAAACCTACAGCATTTTATATAATTTGCATAATATGCAGTATGATCCTTAGAAATTTCATCTCTTTGCTTTTTTTCCGGTCACTGATCTTTATCTATCTGTAAGTCTTCTTTGACATACTAATTCAGTAGCACAGAATTCAAATCTAAGTGGTTAGGCAATCTTTAGATTAATTTTCAGTTTCAGTTTGTTATGTTCCCTTTCTAATGAAGGAAAGGCAAAAATTAGAGAACTAATATAATGAACATATACAACTTATGCCTTATTATGACTTATTTTTCACTGTACACTGTACATCCCTGACACAGTCTTGAAGTTTGAAAATTAATTTTAGCAACATTGCATATTAAAATCTCAAATCCCAATCCCATGTCCATTTTGTGAGAGGTGGTAACAGGATAAAGTCAGAGATTTTTAAGACTGCAGAAGTATGGCATGGCCTGCTGCCACAGGACTGTTATGGCAGCCATGAAGAGCATCCTGGGCCATCCTGAAATGGCCTGGCTAAAGGGGATTTAGTGAAGTTGCGACAGACCCTGTAAGTCAGCAACGGACATTATAGAACTACACAAATCCACATGAGATACAAATGGACACATCCAATGAGAAATAATCGTGGCAATGTCAAAGGACCAAGACATAGAACAGCAAAGTACAAAACAGGAATTTTGAATATGACCGACTTAGGAAATAAAACAGAAAGTTTTGAAATAATGGAAAGAAGAAGAAATCAAAATAATGGGACTAGCCGATATAAGACACAAAGGACATGGTAGTAATAAAATTCATAAAGGATACTTATCTACTCAGGAGGAGATACAGCAAAGAATGGAATGATCATCTTGGTAGATTCAGACACAGCAAAATGCATACTAGACATTAACTCATTTTAGTCATCATCACCATCATTTTAGCTATTGTCTATCCACTGCAGGATGAAGGCCTCTTCCGCATGTTTCCAACCAATATGGTCCTGAGCTTTCTTTTGCCAATTGGACCCACAATACTTGCTGATGTCATTGATCCAATTTGTTTTAAGTCTCTTTCATGGATGCTTTTTATCAAGTGGGATCCATTGTATGATTGTGTTGGTCCACCTGCCTTTAGTTCTTCTTGCTATGTGATCAGCCCATTTCCATTTCCATTCTTTTACTCTCTTGATGATATTGTATACTTTTCGTTTGTTCTCTAATCCATGTGTAGGTCTTTCTAAATTGTTTTGTAATGCCAAGCATGTATTTTTCCATGGCTCATTGCGCTACTCAAAGCGTTTGTATCTATTGTGAGGTTAGTGTCCCTAACCTCACACGTTAATTGAAAACTTTTCTTTTTAGGCATAGGGGGATGTTGTTCTTGAAAATTATGCTTAGCTTGCCAAATGCCTGCCAACCACATTTAGCACACTATTCAATTTCCTTTATTGTATTTACCTTCATTGAGATCCATTGGCCAAGGTATATGTAGTGGTGTACTACATCTAGTTCTTTTCCAGATAATATTTTTTTCTTTATTTGGTGATTTATTAAACATAACCTGGCTCTTTTTCAGGTTTATTTTTAAGCCATATGGCTCTCTTGCTTTCTGCAGCTCTTGTATGTGTCTTTGTAACTCTTCTGGGTCTTGTGAGAAGAAAACAACATCATCTGCAAATCTTAAGTGATTTAAATAGGAGCCATTGATTTTTATTCCATCTTTTGCCCAATGTAGTTTGTGAAATACTTCTTCAAGGCAGGCTGACAAAAGGATAGGTGATATTGTATCACCTTGCAATATATAATTTCTATGTTGATTTTTTTCATATATTGATTGTAGTAAGTTTATGTAAGCAGTATCTACTAATGCATTAATTATTGCTTGCTGGAAAACGGAGTCAAAAGCCTTTTCGTAGTAAATGAAAGCCATGCACAGAGGTATGGTATACTCATTGTGCCTTTCAATGACTTGCTGAACAACCTGGATGTGATCCATTGTGCTCTACCCACTTTTGAACCCTATCTGCTCATTTGGCTGTTCATCACTTAATATTGTCAACATTCTTACTGCTATTATTTTGTTGAAAACCTTGTAAATGACTGAAAGAAGGTTTATTGGGCGATAGTTCTTTAAATCATCTTGGTCCCTTTCTTGTGTATAACAATCACTTCAGCATTTTTCCATGCATCAGGTATTTTTTGTTTTCTGAGGCATCTCGGGTATAGTTTTGCTAGTATCTTGTGTTAAGTTGGACCACCAGCTTTCAGCATTTCAACCGTGACACAGTCATTTCCTGAAGCTTTGCCATTTTTCATTGATTTTAGGAAACGCAATATTTCCTCCACTAGTATATCTGCCATTTCCTTTTTCATGAGAGTTGTTACTTTTGAGTAGTCTTGATCTTTGTATAGTTCTGAATAGATTTTTCCTATTATTTCTAATATTTCCTGTATTGTTCTACAGAGCCATCTTCACATTTTAATTCACAAACCTTTCTTGTATTTATAAGCTTGCATTTTGCTCTGTTAATCCCTTAGTTTTCTTCAATTGCCTTTTTCACAAGCTTCACATTAAGCTGATGCATTTCTTCTTGACAGAATAATAATTCTGAAAATCAAGACAGAAGAGCAAATTAAAACATATGTACAATTATATGCATCATGTAATAATTACACAGAAGAACAAAAGGATTAATTCTTCAATGAACTACTGAGGAAATAGAGAAAATGGAAGCTAACAGTGTACTAGTATGTAATGGAAGATTTCAGTGCCAGGGTGGGTACAATGAAGTCTGAGCAGTTCATTGGCTCACATGTTGCTAAGAACAGAGTGAAAGGAATGAGAATGGGCAAAAGATACTGGATTTATGCAGCCAACATCACCTTTTTATCACTAATACCTTTTTTGAACATCAATTCTCAACATATAAATAGAATGAGATCACTACCAAAAGTCAGATCAATTACACATTAATAAAAATAAGCAGAAGATACATAACACTAAGTGCAAAAGCAATAAAAAGGAAATAAAATAAAATAAAAGATATAAAAACAATCCCAGTGGACTATGTGATGCTAATAATAAGATTGTAGTGCTAATAACAAAAAAAAAAAAGAAAAATACCAAATAAAAAGAGGAAATCATTAAGATAGCAAAACTTAAAAGGAAGTAGTAGAACAATTACAACAAGAGGTGGAGACAACATTTAGTCAACTGCCACTACAGGTGGGAAACATGGAGGATGAATGGAAAGAATACAGAACTATCCTGCCTAACTTCATAGAAGAACTATGTGAAAAAAAGGAAAAGTGGAAAAAGACGGAATGGAACAAACCCACTGCATGATAGTGTGAAGAGGCTAAAGATGCAATAAAATTGAAAAAAAAGTTATACAGGTAGTCATTGACTTACAAGTATTCATTTAGTGACCATTTGAAGTTACAATGGCACTGGAAGTGACTTGACCTTTTTTTTTACAATTACAACTTTGCAGCATCCCCATGATCGTGTGATCAAAATTCAAATGCTTGCCAACTGGTTTATATTTATGATGATTGCAGTGTCCCAGGGTCATATGATTTCCTTTTGCAGCCTTCTGATAAGCAATGTTAATGGGGAAGGCAGATTTATAAAACAACCAGGTTACTAACTTATCAACTGCAGTGATTCACTTAACAACTTTGGCAAGAAATGTTGCAAAATGGGGCAAAACTCACTTAACAAATGTCTCACTTAACAGAAATGTTGGGCTCAGTTGTGGTTATAAGTTGAGGACTACTTCTATAAATGTTGGTAAAATCAGAGAAGATTATATAAACTGTAGATTACAGTGTAGAGATACCAACAGTACAATCAAGCAAGCAATCAACAATCCTGGGAGTGTTTGAGAAAATCTTTAATAAATAATGAGAGAACAACCTGCAGGATGTTTTACAAAGTAGTCATAAGTATATGGAAAAAAGAAGAGAAGTATAACCCCACAGAAATAATTAATGATAAGAACAGAAGGCCACTAACAGAACCATCGGAAATAATAAAGTGGAGAGAATGCTTCAAAGAACTCCTCAATCCCTTAGGAAACTATGATGAAAAAATAATGCAAGACTACAATGTAACAAACACTAGAACCAGAAATATTAATTGAACAAGTAGTCATGTAAATATAAATATAAATCACCAGAATGGGCTACCAATAGATATAATTCAAGCATCTGGGGAAAATAACATCAGATGGATATATAGAATCTTTATTGTAGCATGGACACAAGTAACTGCAATGAGAATGCACACAGTACTGAAGCATCTCATTCTTGAGCCATGCAGGGAAAATGTATGCCAAGATAATAAAAATGAGGTTAAGTCCAACTATAGAATCACAATTAGCAGAACGGGATGACTTTTTAGGAGACACAGAAATTGCACAGATGCAGCTAGTATAACTAATATAAAAGAATATAGCACGCAATAAGAATCTCTTTGTCACATTTGTAGACCAAAAGAAAGCATTTTATAGAGTTGATAGGAAATTACTATGGCAAACATAGTAAGAGAAGTAAATGATCATCTATTAGATTATATACAAGTTTACATAGTGATTGCAGAAGTGTAGTTCAGAACAAAACAAACCACATAAGAACCCTTTATAATAACATCTGGAAACATGGTTGCATCTTATCACCACTGTTATTTATTTTACATTGATACCGGTAGGATAAGCAAAGAAGCTAAGCCCAGAAAAGAAAATAATATCAAAGAACTATTGTTTGCAGATGATCAGGCATTGATAAGAATTGCAACAACAACTCATTTACATGAACCAGGAATATAAGTCAAATAATATGAGAATTAGTAAACAAAAAACAGAAGTAAGGATAATCAGAAGAGAAAAGTACACCTTAAACATAGTAATAGAGCAGTGGTTCTAGAGCAGAGTCTAATTCTATTGGCTTTCAGAAGCCAATAGGAATTGTCCAGGCTGTTTCTGCCCTGCTGAGCCCACCAAAAGTCCCATTCTGCAAACAGTGTTGCACGAGTTGAGTAGTCCTCGACTTACGACCGGTTGAGTAGTCCTCGACTTACGACCGGCTGGGTGTTGCGGCATTAAAAAGGTTGAGAACCACTGTAATAGAGGGAATAAGCATAAAACAAATATCAGAGTTCAAATATTTAGAAACAACATTTACAGAAAATGGAAATATAGATACAGAGATTAACATGCTTTGCAGTAAGGCAAAAACCACTGTAGGCAGTAGTTCCAGTCCTACAGCATAATCTGGAGTACTGATTAGTATTAAGGAGCATCTCATAGAAAGCATATTCATCCCTGCCTTATGTTACCAGTACCAAACATAAACACTTATAATAAAGCATAAATGCAAGTTACTATGGAAATGAGATGTTTGAGGAAAGTTGCTGGAATAACTAGAAGACATAAACTCAGAAATGAGATTATAAAGGAAAGAATTGGGATAGAACCAATATTAAACTACATACAAAGATGGCAAATAAAAAGATTTGTCCTTCTGGAGAGAATGTCTGGGAATTGCATACCATATAAGGAATATATACAAAGAGGAGAAGGTCAAAGAGCATGAGGCAGACCAGAAGAAGATGGAAAGATATAATAAAGACATTATAGTAGCATCGAATAACAGTAGTTGAGGCCACAAGAAGCAAATCAATATAAAAAAATCATCTGAGATCGCTGCTAGAAGAGGGATGCATAGTCAAATATTCTGCATATAAAAGAATACGTGTTTAGAACTGCTTGTCTGTTCCTGTTTCCCATTTACTTAACATTTTAGCAATTTCTGGAAACAGTAATAACTTTCGCTGAATTGGCAGTTTAGACACTTAACAAACCATACTTTCTGATCCACACATATGGTAATTCACAAATCAGAGTTTATCAGTGCAGATACCACATCAAACTGTTTTAAACCCTTCCTAACTATGAATTTGTATATTGCTGAATCATTGTTTTCAAGGGCTTTCCTTTATCCTCGACTTTTACTTCAGATTTGGAATGACCCTTTCCTAGGAATAGAATGGAATAATTTTAATCCAGTAACATGTCCTAGATCAAAGAGATAATATTCCTAGATCAAAGAGATAATCCAATAGATGATATCCAATAAATAGCAACACTTCTGGATTCCATGAACATGATGAGACCATTCAACCCTTTTTTATTTTGCAGCTCCTGACATTTTAGAGGTTTTGGTAGGAATTGTGAAAAGTGGATTTGTCACTAATTTTCAGATAAAAGGCATATGAAAAGCTTAGAAAATTTAGGGAATAAAAAAAATCAAACAAAGTACAGGTAGTCCTTAACTTACAACAGTTCATTTAGTGACCATTTAAAGTTACATCGGCACTGAAAAAAATGATTTGTGACTGTTTTTCATGCTAATGACCATTGCAACATCCCCATGGTCATGTGATCAAAATTCGGATGGATGGCAATTATCTCATGTTTATGAAGATTGCATTGTCCAGGGGTCATGTGATCACTTATTGTGGATTTCTAACAAGCAAAGTCAATGGGGAAGCAAAATTCATTTAACAACCGTGTAACTAACTTAACAACTATTGTGATTCACTTAACAATTCTGGCAAGAAAGATTGTAAAATGGGGTTAAAATCATATAACAACAGTCTCACTTAGCAACAGAAATCTTGGGCTCAATTGTGGTCATAAGTCAAAGATGAGTTCTGTCCACTCATCATAAAGTTATCAGTTTTCCGATGGCATCCTTGGGTTGCAGAAAACAGCTGTCTTTACTGGAGTCTGTGGAAGTCTTTATATTTAATTATAAAGGAAGTTTCTCCTTAGTTCTAGGTTGCTTCTCTCTTTGGTTAGTTTCCATCCGTTGCTTCTTGTCCTGCCTTCAGGTGCTTTGGAAAATAGCTTGACTCCCTCTTCTTTGTGGCAGCCCTTGAGATATTGAAACACTGCTATTATGTCACCCCTAGTCCTTCTCTTCATTAAATTAGACATACTCAGTTCCAACAGTCATTCCTTATATGTTTTAGCCTCCAGTCCCCTGATCATCTTTGTTACTCTTCTCTGTACTCTTTCTAGAATTGAATTGAATATAAGTGAATGAATTAATTATGAATCTGCTTTTTTCTTTTTTCTTTTTCTTTCTCTTTTTGCTAAGAGTCCAGTATTTCTTCTAAAGTAATTTCAGTCATGTATTCATTTGGAACACTAATTTTCTTTTCTTTTTTTAAAGACAATTACCAGACCTTCCACCTAAAACTCCCTTTTTTAATTCAAATAATTCTCAACATGTAGACCAGCGTCGCCAAGGTTTGCAAGAATTTCTCCAAAAGTGAGTAGATTAACTTTGAGAATTGTTTGTTGCTTATTGGCTTTAATGAAGTGGTTAATTTCTTATACCTGCAATACCAGTTCATCTCTTGTGCACGGCAGCCACCTTGTGGCCATAATTATGAATTTGCACTTCTAATCTTCTATGGAAGAAGTTTACATAGCAGATGTGCTTTCTTTACTCTGGCATTTGAATTTTTGGGATTTCCTTTTTTGAACCAGCAATTTGTTAAATAGTGTATTGTTATTATTGAATTTGAAAACCAAGTTGTTTTAAAATAACGATATGTGGATGAATCTTTTTAGCAGTGTGAAGAAAAGCAAAAGAATTTAATTAATCCATACAAGGCAAAGATATGCTCCATAGTCAATCATGTGGAGGTAATAAAGAACCAGTATTCTCTTTGATGTTTTTAAAGAAAAAATGGTAGTAAAGCTTTCAATAGTTGAATATTAGACATTCATCCGATTAGGTAAAGCATGAGCCACGTGACTCTTTTTCTGTGGTTCTTAGAGAATTTAAAGATTGATATTTGTTGACAATGTTAATCATATTATCTATATATTTTCTTTTTAAAAAATCAACTTAGATGTTTTGTTTTTTAGAAAGCTGCTTTGGCGTATAAGGAAGATGACTTTGATAGCTTATACAAGAACCATTACTTAGGCAAAATGGATTGAAACATTTTAATTGGTGTCAGCCTCATTAGGTAGATCAGGTCAGGAAGTCTTCTCCACATGAAAGCCAAAACACAAAAGGCTTTGAGATATCTCCTAAATTAAAAAGAGAAAACTAAATTATTTTTTAAAAAGTTTTATTAATTTATGATATATGATACAATCAAAATACAAAGTAAATAGAGGAAAAGATGGAGAAGGGAAAAGGGAGTAGAAAAGTGAGAAGTAGAGTTAGTTGTGTTTTTTTTTTAGTTAGTAGAGAAAACTAAATTAGCTTTTGATATCAAACATACCCATGGTATATTGATGACTTGGCGTATATGGAAACAGGAGTCCTGTAATTAGCTTGGCTGTAAGCTATATAAAGTAGCATCATCAGCACCTTGAATTAGATTTGAAAGACCATTGGCAATCAATAAACTATTTCAACATGGAAATAATCAAAGATCTCAAAGAGGATCTATTCATCAACCATCCTGCCATTTTTTTTCACATTTCAAGGCCCTCCCATGAAGAGCACAATAAAATAGTTCAGGCTTGAGGTTATTACCTGAATGTAACTAGCTTATTGATGTCATCAGACAGATGATAATAAGACATGCCATGGTAATAAGAAATGACACTGAGCTTGGAACAAATCCAAGTGAACTTGTTTGTTAAAGACCATCAGGTTGCTCATAACAGCTCAGATGGCACCAGGGCATCAACCAAATGTTTTGGAAGTTTGGTTTCTACCTGCAGCCTAGAAGAACACTCTTAAGATAGTTTCATTGCTTTTTCCTTTTACTTAATTACTGCAGTATAAACCCCACAATAAAACCTATGATATGTTTTGTCAGATTTGTTCCTCAACCTGTACCAAAGTTGCTCTAGTCAGCTATCCTCATATTTTATTTATGTCACATTTATATCTTCTATTCTATACCTATTATATACTATCTTGTCAAGGTATAAAAGTATCATAAATTCAAATATTTAAATTTTAGGAATATTGACCCCACATATCTAACTTTTTCTGTAATAACTATTTTATTTTTAACTATTTTATTTTTCAAGCAGTTAGCAGCCACTTATAACTAGAATCAAAGTCCTCTTGGAATCTTCTTTAACAAGATTTATGCAGAAGGAAGAGTTACAGATTACAAAAATCTTGATAACAGGATATATTTATTTTAATATCCACTTTATCTGTTAAATTCTTTAGGATGATATTCTTGAATCTTTTGCTAATCACTTAGTGATACACTGACAAGTGGTTAGCTCACCTTTGTGATAAAGATTGTGCTTGTAATATCAAATTGCCACCCTCTTTTTCAAGTTCTGAGAAACTATTGCATGATTTCCATTACCTCCTCCCCATATCAGATCCCAGATGAAAAGTTGATAATAATAACAATAGCACTTAGACTTATATACCACTTCATAGTGCTTTACAGCTCTTTCTAAGTTGTTTACAGAGTTAACAAATTGCCCCAACAATCTGAGTCTTCAACCATCTAACCTTAGAAGGATGGAAGGCTGAGTCGACCTTGAATGTTCTCCTTGTCACTTCTTGAAGACTCACCAGTGGTGGCTTACTACTACTAGGAGGTCTTTAATTCCTGGAAGCTATGAGATCTGGAGTAATTGATTTCTTCTTGCAGAGTGCAGCAACACAATCTTGCATGGGTACTCAAGTGTGAAATACATTAAAAAAGAGAGAAAAATCCAAGGATACCATAAATGCCATCTGACTTCTAGATAACAGTAGTTCTGATGTGCCTTATATCCAAAATGGCTCCAATCTTGGAGCATCCATTTAACTTACCTTTGGTCCCAATTGCTCCTTTCAATAATTTATAGCAGGAGAAATTAACTTTGTGCCAGTTATTTGCTAAAGTTCTCTGCAAGGTTCCATGGTTAAAGGAATTAAACAACTACAGGTAGTCCTCAACCTATGACCACAAATGCTCTAAAATTTCTGTTGTTAATGAGACATTTGTTGAGTTTTGCCCCATTTTATGAAATTTCTTACCATAGTTGTTAAGTGGATCACTGCAGTTGATAAGTTAATAACTTGGTTGTTAAGTGAATCTGGCTTCCCCATTGACTGCTTCTCAGAAAGTTGCAAAAGGGGATCACACGGCCCTGGAATGCCGCAATGGTCACAAATATGAAACAGTTGGCAAGCATCTGAATTTTGATCACATGATCATGGGGATGTTGCAAAGGTTGTAAATGTGAAGAATGGTCATAAGTCACTTTTTTTCAGTGCCGTTGTAACTTTGAATGGTCATTAAATGAATTGTTGTAGGTCGAGCACTATCTGTAAATCAAGTCAGAGTAGAAGAAAAGCTGAAACAGCTGTTTCAAGCTCAGAATGTTTACTTTTGTTTCTCTCCATTTAAATACAAACATAATTTGTTTCTGGATTTTTTTTCTATTCAAGAATAATAATGTCATGCAGGAGTAGTTATTTTCCAACAATTCATAGAGCAAAACCATTGAAATCAATGTGATGTAATTTCCCATTTGGTTTCATTGAGCCTATTCTTAACAGAGTCTACTTTTAATATTAATTAACTCTGTATTCAAACTTTAAGACTCATTGTTTTCTTTTTAAGAGCAAAAAAGGGCAATCTCATCTATTGTATGTTACTGTAGGCTGAATTTTTGATGAAGTCCTGTTGAAATCTGTCTCTGTATGTATTCAATAGAGGGCACTAAAACACAGGCGGTGTTTGCTTGTTTCTATAGATTAGATTTCTCATGAACATGTACCTAGAGTCAAGAAATGAAGTAAATAGGCTGAATAAATTTGTTGAAAACAAATGAGTGTTTTAGCTTTCTGCACACATGCAAGCATGCACTTGTCACTATATTGGCCTACATAAGATACAAAAAAAGTTTTATTTAGAATAGGTTACAGTCCATTTCCGCTATATGTTCTCTTCTAACAGAATAGTTTACAAAATACATAACAAAACATTGCAATCTGCCCCGTCCATTTTTGTCCAAACAAAGTAACTATTCATTTTGTTTACATTTTAAAAATATGGTTTTATTTTTAAAACATCCAGACTTCACATAGATATTTTAAATAAACAAAACGTCTTGAGGACTGCCTCATACAGAATAAGTTTATTTTAATCTCTGAAACTTTGTTATATTTAAGTTCTCTAGGCTGAATATAATGAAATAGAAGCAGTAGATCTGAATAAGGAAGCACATGCCTGTTTTCCACTCTTCCTACCTGAGCAGCTTTTAGAATTGGAGTTTAATAATATGTAGATCTCTATTGAGCACTAGCATGCACCAATATTTAATATTTTGTAATATTTTGTATATATGTATAACATATATCAATAATATCTGAGTCTTATACAAAGTAATTGATATCACCTTAAACTCTTGTAATTTAAGATGCAACAAAACTTTCAGTTATCTTGTGTCTTAGTACAGTACTATAGCGTAGACCTGTTCAAACATTTTGAGTTTAGTGCTTATCTGTTCCCATTTTCTTTCCCCTTTTTTTCACAGATGTGTGTTTTTGAGCAAGGTTTTAATTAGCCTCCTTCCAATCTGAATCTTGTCAGTTTTAGCCCAGAACATCCATCAGTCCCACAACAGTACTGCCTCAAGCAATTTGAGACTTATAGGAGTTATGGGCCTAATATCTGTGATACCCTTGACAAATATTCTGCTTTTCTTCTTTCATACATCATAAGCTAGAGCAATTTTCTGGCCTCGTATGAATGAGATTCTATGTGTATGACAGCAAGCCACCCACAGTCTCCCTGGACAGCAAGATTGTCAGAGGGGGGGCATATACATTTTAAATGAATGAATGAATGATTGAATGAATGAATGAACAAATGAGAAAATAAATAAGTAGACAAGTAGGTAGGTAGGTAGGTAGGTAGGTAGGTAGGTAGGTAGGTAGGTAGATAGATAGATAGATAGATAGATAGATAGATAGATAGATAGATAGATAGATAGATAGATAGATAGATAGTAACTACTCCACAGACACAGGTATGACTTTTGTTACCTCAGAGATAGGTTTGAGACTGGAAGTGCATTTAGAGGATGTGATAAGGCTCATTTCACAAATAGTCGCCCAATCACAAAATGCCTGCCATAGAAGCCAAAAGAGTAAATTAGCTGCTGAGGATAATGTCAGCCATTCCAGTGTGATCTTATTCTAACATCACAATAATATATTATGCTAGTTCTTGTTTAATAGTAAGCCAGTTTCTTATTTAAACCACAGGAATCATTTTTAAAAAGTGGTTAAGATATAGAATCTATAGAAAGGAGATACATAGTGGCCACAAAGACATTTCTTATTCAGTGGTGCTAAAAAACTTCCCTTTATTTCAAGTCAATTTTCAGCCCATCATATTCTCAACAATTTGTATTGTCCATCCTGGTGATTATTAACTGCCTTTAAAAAAAAACAAACAAATTCCTGTTTTCCATCACATTCCTTTTAAGCTTTTTGCTCTTTAAGCAGTTCTATTTCAACTGATTCTTTGCACTGATTTCTCCATCCTGTCATTGTTTTGGACTGCAGTTTGCCCCCCTCCCTTGCAGTTTGTGTGCATTTCTCTCCATCACTATACCCATAGTGATTTTTGCTTCTTTCAGCAAAATACTATTTGTAAATATTCAAATTTAGAACACGTTTGTCCTTGTCTCAATAGTTGAAATGTTTGTGAACATTTGTATCAACGAGGCCGATTGCTGTTGAAGGCTTCATTGTCACCTGCGATTGCTTAGACTAAAGTAGAAGATAAAATATTTTTAAAGCATATAAAAAGCTAGTTATGAATAGAATTGAAAGCTTGTTTTCTTCACCCATATATGCAGTTAGGTAATTGGAACTAATGTATTTCAACTATAGCTATTTCTGCCCAACAGAGGGCTGCAAACTACGCTTTTGAGATCTCAGCTGATTAGATGAAACCAAGTTTCCTTTGGCAGCCCTCTGCAGTCTAATTAACTTTTCTGATAACTGTAAACAAGGGCCAGATCAAATCTCAAGCTGACAAGTTGTGTTTCATGAAGAAATGGTTGCATACATAACTTCAGCATCTCCTATGCTTACTAACAAAATTTTAAAAATTCCTATTACGGTAATGCATTTAAATTACTAAGGCTGAGGTACAGGAAGTTGACAATTGGGATTGGGATACTGTCATTAAGTGAGTTATTAAATAAGTACCTACACACACTTCCCTGTTAGCTTCTCACAATCAAAGTCAGAGAGGGAACTAGCAGGAAATTGCATAATCTCAGGTTGTTTATAAGCACACAGGCAGGCAAGTTATGTGGTTGCTGCCAAATGAAGGAGATTGATGAGCAGTGAGTGTTGTGCAGAGATGTGGGGAAGTTTCTCTGCTGGCTTCCCCACTGACTTGTGGGAAGCTGGCAGAGAAGGTTACAAATCGAGATTGTGTGATGTGCGATGCTGCAACTGTTGTAAATGTGAGTTGATTGCCAAGTGGCTAAATTGATTCATGTCTACTGGACTCACTGGAACTGGATCGGGGCTAACCATCATTTATTTGGCATTATCGTAACTGCTGCTGAATGAATAATTGTAATTCGAGTACTATCTATAGCTACATATTATTATATAGTACCATAGTGCCATACCATTCAACAGTATGGTAAAATACATCTAATATTAGAGATTTTCTTTTAAACAAATGACAACTGTGAGAGTCAGATATATAATCATCCTCTATATATTATGATTCATGCTAAGCCAAACCCAAACTAGCCACATTATAGCTTAGCACAGCCAGATAGTAAAATGGATTAGGGATTAGACTACTTGTATTCAAATAGGGATTTATCATGTGGATTTGGTTTCTCCACCTCTCTATTAAGATATGTGGAAAGAAGGAACAGATTTCATTTATTCCCTTCTCCTGTGATTCCTAAAGCAGTTTTAAGCACTGTTTACAGGCCAGTAAATAGAAGCCAAGTGTACAAGGGAAAGGCATAATAGCTGATCAAACCATGATTTAAGCTGTCCCCCTTTCCAATCAAAATCTGGATCATGGATACAAAGAGCAAATATTAAATATTGTTCTTCCTAAATAGTAGGAAAATATATGGCAATATAGAACTGATCTTGGGGATACAGAAGGAAGCCACAAGCTGTTAAAGGAAGACTTAAGGAAAAGATTATAGAGTTTTGAAATAGAGGGACGCTTGGAGAAAAAAAGCCTCAAAATAATCCCATGCTGATTTTGTTTAAAATGGGATAGAAACAATATTGCAGTAAGATTTTGTTACTCTATTTTGTTGCAATAAAGAGCATTTCTGGAATCCCTGCAGTGCCCTTTTCTTGACCTGGGCTACCTCAAAGGACTGACAGAAAGACGTTACAGATCTTTCAACACATGTCTGTTCACACTTGGCATGTTTGCGTTTCTAAGACACCCTACATGTTTTTATTATCTTTGATCTGATCATTTTTAAGCCTCCAGATGGCACTATTAAGCAGAAAAAAGAATGACTGTAAAGTAATAAAACCAGTGAAAAATAAAAGTGGAAATTGAACTGTAGTGGCAGGGGAGGGCTATTGGTAGCCCTGATGTGCTTAGATCAACCTGTACTCTTATCACTTTTGCTTGCTGTTCCCATATGTTAGGTTACCAGCAAGTTAATAATAGTGCTTTGGCAGTTCAAGGCTTAGCAAAATTACACTGGACATGAAATAAAGCTAAAATGAATTTCTGTCCAATATCATTGACATTAGTGTTCATTATTTTTGTGGTGCAGTGTCTCAAAGCATCAAAAATCAATTTTAAAGATTACCCATTATTTTATAAAGAAACTAAAACGCATTTCAAACAGTAACAAAGAAGTAACTGTGGTGTAATCGTATCAACAGTTACTTAGGTTTTAGTGTGGTGACACAATCACACTTCTAAAGTAACCCCTGAAAATATCTATTGAGAATTAAATTGTATGTATGATCATGTATGATTAAAATAAAATAATACCAAGTTGGATTATCAGTAATATTTTTGCCCCCTCTTTATCTACATCATTATATACATACTTTAAACAATAGTATCTGGTTATGACATTCTGTTAGGAAATAAATAGGTTTCTCCTTTGTGGGAGAGGGATGATTAATGCTTAGTTTGTTTGGGATTTCTAATGTAACATGATTCAGCTTGAAATTGAATTTAAAGTAAAGTTGCATACATTTTTCAGATGTAGGTTACACTTAACCTTTCAATGGGTTGCTGAGGTAGAGGTATGCTACTGAAAACAAAACACTTTTGGGAACAAAGAGACATTTAAAAATAATTTTAATTGATTCACTCTTTAATTTAACATACATTTTAAAGATATCATTAATGTGATTGCTTTCCACATTCTTTACCATTTCCCCCTATTTATCAATTAAAATTACAATTTGATTCAGCTATCAGAGTATATCTGGAAACTGAAAGTAAAGCTGAGATTATGTACCATTTGTTTAAGCCACGGATGTTACTGCTGTCTCCATTCGCATTCCAACTGATTTTCATGAATTCTAGAAGATAGTTTTTTTCCATTAAACTGCTTATTTTTACTACATTGTGCCTTTGTTTATGAACAGTGTCCAATATCTTACACTGATGCAGATGTATTGGAGATGATAAGGGCAATTTATACTTGATCAAAATTAAATATTAAAAATTTTAGGTTTTTTAAATATTTTATGTATGATTAAGATAAAATACCAGGTTAGATTATCAGTAATATTTTTGTCCCCTTTACCTCCATCAATGTGGTCTGAGGAGTATGATATATGCAGCAACTTTAATGACCACGGCAATTAGCTGAATCCGCTAGAGTTGACAAATATCTGCGCTTCCTGCATGTTTACGTTAATGTGCATGCAATTAGATAATATATCGGAGCAGTATTGTCTGTATATATGAATTATATCTGTACAAAACAAGGGAACCCTTTGATTTGATTGTCGCGTAGGCAAAGCATTCTCTGAACACAGCTCTTCATTGCATCCTTTCAAGTATTGTATTGGAGCTGCTACATGACAAATGTTCATTAGTGTTCTGAACATGCATATGCAGAATATATTTTCACAGCAGAAAAAAAATTGACATCTACAAGTGTAGGAACCTGTTTTTGTTTTTATCAAGGTGCTACCTTGCCCTCAACTGGAAGTTGAGGTGGTTCCAGACAGGAGTGCTGCTTCAGGCACTGATAAATTCTGTATTATCCAAGATGTCTTTGTTTTAAAGACTAAATTAGAAACTTGGAGGAAGGAAGTGAGTATAGTTTTGATTTTAAGGGAGAACAGTTTCAAGGACTGGTATGATTCCTATTTATTTCATTTATATTTCACTATACCCCAAGGTCTCTAGGTAGCATATATGATTCCCCCTCCCCAATTTTATTTTCGTAAGTTTATAAAGTGGATTAAACTTAAGTGGGCTTGGATAGAATGAAGAAAAATCCAAGGGCATTTATGGCTAAGTGGGGGCTTAAATTCAGGAAACAAATGACTATGGATGTCCATTGTGGGGGCAAATAATGAAACAGGCATTATGATACAAGTATGATTCCCTTTATATGTGCATCATGATATTACATATACTTAGTGGAATAATTAGAATTTCATTCTCTTGCCTAATTTTGTTTTGTTTTGTTTGCTTAGATATGTAAGTTGGTTATCTAGGTCAAAAGAGATGCCTTTGTGTTTCTTTTCTAGCACATATAATTGAGGCTGGTCTAAACCTCATTTTATTTCTCTCTTCTTTATCATCTCAATTTTGAAATGATTTAATTTTCGTCTTCCTTCCACTCAAGGGTATGCCACGGCCATTATTTTTCATATTATTTAGCCTGCAGGAAATAGTTCCAACCCTTGTTTTCTGTTTTATTGACCTGATGAATATCAAAATCTTCTTCATTGTATCAGACTTTCTTTATCTGACATCTTTGAAATATTTTAGGCTATAGGTCCCATTGTTTTGATGACAAATAATGTAGGCTCTAATTTCATAATATCTATAAGGCACCAGGTTAGGAAGGTTGCATAATGTCCATATTGATCATCTCACGGCTATTTTTAATAGAATTAATCCAAATGTGCTTTCTCTAGAACAGGATTATGAGATATTTTGAGATAACCTTATATAGAAGGCAGAGTATAGCATTGGTTACTCATATTAAAATAATGAATTCTCTGGTAGAAATTATCCTGAATGCTTGCCAATTATAAACTGGAGTCCTGAAATTGTTTACTTTACTACCCTCAGTTATTCAGAATGATACAAATAATTAACTGACATCAACAAATATTAAATAAAAAAGCAAGGGATCTAAACTTCCATAACTTTAATATTGAAGTAATGTTACTTTGGGATTTGTATTTGCTGAACTAAATAAACCAATAGAAATGTATTTTAATGTTGAATAAAACTAGATTGGAAAAAATAGATTTTATGATATGGTGTGATAGAAGCAAGACCATTCTGTTGTTAATAAAAAATATAGTTGGATATATTTAATGTTGTATTAAATTGTCTTAAATATTTGCTGAATTGGGCATTCTCATTTAAGATTATATGCTAGAATCAAAACACTTTTAAAAATTAACTGAAGTAAAAGATTCTTTTTCACATTCATCTCAAATAGTTTTATCATCCTTGAACCTAACATACATAGTGGTAAACTATTTTTTTATATTTTATATAGAAAAATAGATATATTTGCAAAATAAATTTCTGTTTTACATAGGCATTTAATTTCTGTACATTCTATAATGCCCTTATTTTAAGGCAATAGTTTTATTACATATTCAAAATTACTGATTATGCATCATTTCCCATATTATATTAGTTCCCCCACACATACAGAGGCACATTTTTTTCCCAGCCAAAGTAGTAATTGATCCACATGGTAGCAACAGATGGATAAATTTAAAAAATGTCCATTTAAAAAATGTCCTTGAAAATTACTTATATAACTGATGTTCGTAACTATTAGCTTCATGTTTTTTTACTCACCTAAAATTCCAAATACTTTAGTAAAGGTAAGTATCACTTACTCAAACATTCTAACATTTATACTGCATTCAAATTGCAATGGGTATGAAGTTAAAAGTAATTTTAAGGCAAAAAATATTGAGTAAATGTTCTTGGAAGGCAGCTGAAATTTTTGTATTTTTTAAAGGGTACTCCAGAATCCAGTTTTGCTTTCAGACAGTAGACTTCATCTCTTCGTACAAACACAGCTGAGTCCTGAAGACATTGAGGCCTGTGTATCTGGAAATACGAAATATTCTGTAGCTGAAGCAATCCGTGGCTTTGCTTATTTGAAACGACGATTTCCTGTAGAACATGAAGAGAAGAAAAAAGAAAATTATGCCGATTCAGATTCTGAGAGGTTACTTCCTTACATTCTGCTAAACAGGCATACATGATAATAAAAACACTTCAGCATTTTTGTTGTTGATGCAATGCTAAGATAATGGAAAAATTAATTGACTGAGATTTTATTGAGCTGTGACAGCTCATCATAGAAGTCTTTGCATACACCTCCACATTGAATTAATGAATGCAGTAGAAATTCAATTATCTGCATTCTGATTATGTGAATTTCATTTAGTCAGACTTGAATTATTCGCGTTTAAATTATCTCGCTAAAAAAAAATATCCAACTGCACTCCAAATGACTAATTAAAAGTCCAAATTTCCTGTCTCTCTTTTGTGACTGGGGATAATTAAAGTTCTCCTCTGTTACTCAGGCTTTGAGTGTGTTGTGAAAACCAATTTTCTCCCCCCCCCCCTTTTTTTTTTCTCTGCAGTTCATCCTCTGGGCTTGAACACAGTGGAAATGATAGCAATTCACACAGACATAAGGCAAGCACAGCTCATGAAGAACCCTGAAATATTATTTGCACTCTACTGTTCCTGGAATGACAGGCATAACTTGAAAGTTGCATGTGACCCTTCAAACTACTTCCCAAAGCACGTGCTTTTTGTTTTCAAAATGGTTTTGAAAAATATACAGTATATGCAGTAGAGGTTGTATGGGCTGGGAATTATGAAAATAATAGTCCAAGTCATTTTGCAAACCAAGCAGGAGAAATCTGATTTATGTTATCGAACAGTTATGAATTATAACTGTAGAGACACCTTCAGTATCTTAGATTTCCTGGTGTAATCCTTTGGGGGTCATTGTAAGAGAGAGCAGAGAAAACCTCTAAATGAATGATGTTGAAATATGTTGGAATATCTGACCTCAAAATGTACAAATTCTATTTTCATTTGGCATTTTAAATGACAATATGGCCACATAATTCCATCATATTGTACAAACTAAACTTAACTGAATGCAAAATGTAATTTAAAAAATTCTGCTTTTAATTACACTTATTGCCAGGTAAGTATGCGTATGTACTCAGCAATACAGGAATAAATGACCAAATTACTTTTAAATGAACATTCTAAAATATTAGCTTCATCCCAATAAATACTTGAACACTATGTTATAATCAAACTTACAGAGTTTCATCAAGTGCTTGAGTCAGTATGCTTAGATGCAATTGAAGTCAATAGGTTTAAGCTTGCCTAACAATTGTCACATGTTGTGTAAATATATATTTCAGACCCGTACTCCCATTGACAGCAGGCAACGGAATTTCATTTTTAATGTGGGCTAGTGTGCTCACAATAAAAAAAAATGACAATAAACATTACTTTATCTTTTTGAAATCGAAGTACATCGCATTTGAGGGCACCAGGTTGAAGGAACCTAATATGTCTTGCTCTTTGATGCAATAAAGAAATAATGTTGTATAGCAAACTCTCTTTGCATTATAAACGTGTTATGCTATATTTTCAAATTTCTGTTTCTAGATATAACAGTGAAGAAACTAGATTTTAGCCAGAGGAGCAGGAAACACCAAAAGATAATTTAATTTTTTTAGGGATATGTATGTTTAAAGTATCTAGCTGGACTACTTCATAAGCTCAATTCATTTTGGAAATGCTCAGTAAAATTAACTGGTACCCAGTCCAAAAAGTGCATTTATTATGGAACTAATTTTCATATTCTATTCATATTAAGTAATACTTTTTGAAGGTCATGGAGTATATTTTGGAATGGGGGAGGGGAAAGAAGTGGTAAATATTTAGAGCCAACAATCCTTTTGCTATTATGGTTGAGCATTAAATAATCTTGCAGATTATTTTATTTAATTGGATAAAACTATTTAGGCCTAAATAAGAAAAAGTGCTAAGCACTTATGCTTAGATAACAGCCTGAACATGTAAGTAAAATCACAAGTGTAGCATTTGCTACTGTTACAGTAAAATGAACAAAAGGCATTCTGAGGAAAGAGAAGATAAAAAAAGACCAAAGAAAATGGAATAAGATATTGTCGCCTACTAAAATTATAGAAATCTAATTATTACTGTCAAGCAATTTGAAGCAATGTGTATGCTATAAGTTTATTGATTGCTAATTTTAGTATATGATGTGTAAAGACTTATGTGATGTCATTTAATTGATGCCTGCTGGAGGATAAACAATTATTTCAGCCTTAAGTATAGCAAATAGAAGGCTTGGGAACCACTGTTACATTAAAATTCCACTGTGAATTGCTGGATTTAATGTAGTTTGTCATTTGTTTTATCAATACTGTGCATATTAATCATGTTGCTTCAGTATTACTATATTCATATTTTTATACAGCAAAGCTCTACATGCTTACTATGATGTAAATCCATCTAAATTGTTTAGAGTGTATCTGATTGCAGCATGACCCTTTACATATTTTATGTCTATCAAATATTAGTGAAATACTTAAAACAGAAATGTGTGAACTCTTAAAATGTCTAGAAAACGCTTCCATTTTGTTATATTTCCAAAATAAAACATTTTCTATGTTGATTTATTTTTGTCTTTGTGGTCTTGATTTTGAAAATTGCAAGATATTCAATTATATAGCATGTTGTGTGTGTGTATACACACACACATACATATATATACATACTGAACTTAATAATATATTTAAGGAAGCATGAATAAAACAAGTTGTTAATTTTTTAAAAGAATAATCCCATGAATTTTCCAAGTCACATGTCCTATTTTGGGATTCAGTCTGTTCTCTCTCAGATTTAAATTGTTCCTTTTATGCATTATAAAGACAAGGAAAAGGAATTTGTTTTCTAAATTTATATATTTTTATAGTCTGCCAGACATTTTTGTTATTGTTAAATATGGTAAGACTAATTTTATGATTTACATAGGTTTTATGTAATTCCCACACCTTCATTTCTGAAGACTTTTTTTTGTAACTTGCTATTACAAAGCTTTGCAAATAAAGTCACATTTATTTGTACAGCTCATTTTATAAATTAAATCTGGTAAATATTCATGTAAATCAGGCAAAAATATCTAGCAGAGTATAAAGCTTATTTTCTTAGTAGTTATAAACAATAGTGTATTAATTCAATATTTTCCTTAATGTCTTCACTTTTTAAAGTATATTTTTAAAGTGCTTTTGCAATGATACTTTTAACTTTGCCTAATTTTTTTAAAGTTTTTGTTCCACTTTTTTTTCTAACAAATCCTTTATAAAATGTGGATTTGACAGCCCTTTCTTTTTAGAAGATCATATTTTACAAAATTTAAAGAAAGAAAGAAATTCTATACACCTTTTTATTATTCGAATACGCTTAGCTCCTCTGCGGATACATTACTCTCTTCCTCATCATTTTATCTCGATTAGAAATAATTGGGGAATGTAATTCTTTTTACCTACAATTATCCATCAACTAGGAAGAATTGGTTAGCTCTCGAATTTAATCTCATAAAATCAGAAAAACAGAATTATAATTGCAAAAGGCCAAGCGGGTAAGAAAAAGAATACGTGGTCACGGGCTGACGCATCTTAACTTTTCCGCTTTTCCACGTAACCCTTTCCTTGCTGGCCTTCTCTGCTTTGCAAACACAGTCGCAACTGACAACCCAACTGCTTAGCATTGCGCCGTCAAACCGGCTCTTCAGCTCAAAAACTTTCCCTGTCATTGTTAATTGTTATGCTGGATAGGATTTTTTTTTTTAAAAAAAGATACTCTATTCAGCGATACCTCGTTCCCCGGTTTTTGGGATCGCCTGCAGCTTCAAGATTCCCCCGTCTCCCTGCACGAAGCAAAAAATAATCCATCCGTAAGCCATCTGGCTTCATTTTAGGAGAAGCGAAACAGGAATGCCTCGTCATCAGTTAGCCATTAGCGTTCCTCTCTCTCTCCCTGGTTTCGTGGGCCAGTTTTGCACCTTCGACCTGGTGCATAGTAGTTCGCTGGTTTCTTACCTCAAGGCCTTGATTCATTTTTTTTCTTCCACCCGCCCCCCTGTTTTCAACCCCACATGCTGGACATTTGCCCCCGCAGCTGCAAATGCCGCACGCGGAACCGCCGGCGCGCGCAGGGCGCTGGCTCAGTAGCAGCAGCAGCAGCAGCAGCAGCAGCAGTAGTAGTTCGCCCGCTCGCTCGCTGCCCCTCCCGCCCGGGGAATGTGTGTTCCAGGCGCCCTCCATGTGCCTGAGCTTTGCTGGGGGCTGTTTGTCAGGGAGAGAGAGAAGCCTGTCGCCGACCGTAATCCCGTAACCCATAGCAACGGCCCAAATCAAGGGAGCAATAGCCTGCTGCTCCAAAAGGCCCATAGAGAATACGTCAACGCGCGCCTCTCCCTCCCTCCTCCCAGAAAGCGATGCGGTAGCCCTGGAACATCAATGCGGAGACGGGGGTTGCAAACGACAAAGGATTTTCAAGGCTTTGCTCTCCTTGCAAATACTTCATTGCTTCCTCCCCTCCCCCCTGCGTTTTTGGATGAATGTATGAAATGACAGACACAGGAGGCTGGAAAATGAGAGGCAAATATACTGTGGGGGCGGCGGGGGGGAAAGTCAGGGAAAGAGGGCGAGGGGTGACGACGACATTCCCAGGCGTCGGCTGGATGGTGGGCTTTTGTTATGCAAACGCATAGGCAGCCGGCTGTCGTTTTCTGTGCAGGGACGGAGGTAGTCGAATGACTCCTTGAAATAAAGGTCAGCAGAGCTGGTGAGGGAGGGCGGACAGAAGAAGAGGGTTATTGTTTTCCCAGCGCTGTGCAGTGATACAGGAGCTTAAACGCTGGGAAAAAAAAAGCAGGATGTGCTTGCAAGCCTGGTTTGAGAGATTGGACTCCTTTTAAAAACGAGAAAGATTGTATGGTTTTAAAATATCCTTAAAGATCCAAACCTAAGACACCTTTTCTAAAGAAGAGACAGCAAGACTTTTCCATTCTCAGTGGCCATGAGTATTTCAGAATAAGGCATAGTCTAGTAATTTCTCAAGCTCCTCTTGAAATAAAAATCTTCATATATCTCATGATCATGCAACAAGCTAAGATATGATTGGCTTAAACGTGATATACTGAAGGAATCACAGCTGGAGAGTTCAATCAGGTTATTAACTACAAACTAAGGCTTATGAGGCCACTGGTTGGTGTTAATATCATACACTAGTTAAACTACCTACCACAGTTTGACTTTATCTGTGACTCTTGAAAATGATTTACTACATATTTGTCATGTCACTAGAGTTCAGTTTCTATCATATAAGCAATAGTGTAGTTTGGTACTCTGGCTCAGTATATTTATGAACTCTGTTAATGTGATTACAGTTGTTTGTGTTTTAGTGTGTGCATCATGCTGGAGGTGATTGATGAATTAAGAAAAGACCCCCCACCTTCCCCCATTGTTCAGCCTGCCTTCTTCCTGCCCATCTTTTTAATTGTATTTTTACTGTTATTAGAAATATTTATTTTATGATTTTATTGGCTTTTAATGTTGTAAGTTGCCCAGAGTTGCCTTGAGGCAAGAGGAGTAGCAAACCAAACTAAATCAATCAATCAATCAACAAGCCAAAAAGCAGAGGGTCAAAAGATCAGGTCCTACTTTTTATTTACTTATTGTATGGCATAGATCATACAGTCACTTATAAACAACATTGATAAAACACATATGTACAAACATAAATATATATTAAATCATCAACAAATACATGTATATAAGGTATGTGGACAATACAGTAGATGAGATAAAATATTAAATTAGAATAAAGCCATGATAAAATCTCAATAATAAGCTGCAATAGCATAGGTGTATAATTTGATAGCTAAGAAAGCTAATCATCTAACTGCTTCTGGTTGATGAGATCAACCCAGGTACATTGAAATTTCCTGAGGAGACATACTTGAACTATATGTGTTTATTCTGATGCACCACAGTCACATTGTGGGCTCTCTGCCAATACTCAGTTAAAAAGCTTTGCCTTAGTTCTGGCATGAGCTGTCCTGTTTCTATTCAGGTGGCTCCATATTTTTAGGTGACAATTGCACATAGGTGTCAGTGTAGATCGACAATAAGATCATCAAAACGGTAAAGGAATTCATCTTCCTGGGCTCTGTATCGACCAAAATTATGACTGCAGCCCTGAGATCAGAAAGTGTATAGGAAGAATTGCAATGTCTGACATGAATAATATGTGGAAGAGTAAAGACATCAGCCTCACAATCATTGCAGATTAGTCAACACAATAATTTTTCCCAATTGCTAATTGTGTCTATGAAACTTGGACTCTGAAAAAGGCAGATAGGAGAAAGATGGATGCCTTTGAACTGTGGTGCTGGAGGCAACTATTACACATCCCATAGATTGTAAAAATAACAAAAAGGTCCTACACTGAACCTCACCAAAAATATCACTTGAAACCAAGATCATCAAACAGGCTGTCATTCTTTGGTCATGTCATGAGAGCTGACTCACTTGAAAAGTAAGTCATGCTGGGAGTGATCAACGGAAGGAGAAGGGGCTGCCCTAGTACCTGCTGGCTGGACACTATAAAGGATGACACCTGGTTGACCATGGCGGATCTGAAAGAGGCAGTGTGAGACAGAGACTGACAAGATGATTTTGGAAAACTGCAAAAGAAAAAAACCCTTGAATGTAGTTTAAACTAATTACAAGAAGACATTTGACTCCTTGACACATGACTGGATAATCAAGTATCTAGAAATAACAGAATAACAGTAGAAACATGAGAAGATCTGTGCAAAGATCAGTACTACAATGGTGATAGATTCGGACAGGTTATCAAGAGAGGAATCTTTCAAGGAGACTAACTATCACTGCTACTGTTTGTCATTGCATTGATTCCTCTGTCAACAAACTGAACAAGTCAGGCCATGGCTATCAACATCAAAAATATCTGCCAAGCTATCCCACTTCCTTTACATGGACAATCTGAAAGTACAAATAATACTCAATTTATAACTTTGTTAGTGACATTCGACGTTACAATGGCACTAAGAAAAACAGACTTACGATTGTTTTTCACATTTATGACTGTTGCACATCCCTATGGTCACAGAATCAAAATTCGTGTATTTGGTAACTAGCTCGTATTTATGATGGTTGCAATGTCCTGGGATCATGTAATCCCATTTTGCGAAGGGAAGCCAGATTCACTTAACAACTGTGTTGCTAATTTAACAACTGCAGCAATTCACTTAGCAACTGTGGCAAAAAAGATGATAAAGTGGAGCAAAACTCATTTAACAAATATGTTTTCTGTATTTTGTTGTTTGAGTGCTTTCTTGCCAGAATGTTAACATTCACAGTTGTATAAATGCAACAGCTATGCAACTATTTCTGAATGACAAATGCATACTTTCCTTGACCTGCAGTGACACAGAAGTTTAACTCCACTCAAGAAAGCTGGTCCTATATCCGGCTGGGTGCTTCTCTCAGAATCTGAAAAAAAAAGTTGAGTGTGCTGGACCTTTGAGCAGACCATATCCTGCATATCCCTGGGTTGTGAGTCTTGCAAGCTGCGGGCCCATAAAACCTGATTGGTTGGAGAAGATCTCCTTGGAGGTTTGCAAGCTCCAACTGGCTCAATCTCCTGTTGGTCACTGGAGATTTTCAAACTTCAAATGGCCTGATCTGAAACCCTGATTTATTGAATTAACTGGCTGGATTCATGTAATACTAAGGCATAATTTGTGATTTATGGATCATAGCAACAATAAACTAATCCAAAATCAGGCAAAATATATTATTGTTTGTGCAATTACATCTTCCTTATACTGGCTGGAAGTTGTAGAGGAAATAGGAAATCCTCACTGGGAATAGCTGACTGAAGTACAATACTGTAATCCTTAAATTGCATCCTCTTACATCTGATATTTAACACATATTATTCCAGATCCTATTTTATTGTTTTACTGTTGGCCTTTTTATTTAAATATTTTATTCATTAAGAGATGGCTTTGAAGAACTAGTGGCATTCCAGATATTGAACACTTCTTACAATGAAAGACCTAAGAAAAGATTATGGCTGTATTGAAGCTTGCATTTTCTTTTTTATGGGAAAATAAAGGACTCGAGTTTTAAGTGCTGCAAATGATACTAAATTTCAATTTATAGTTCACCTTTTTATTCAGAATCTAGTTTAGTGAAGATCTAGCTTCTAATATCGAATCTCTGCATATCATTTTGAGTCAGTTACACTCAGAACAACTTACTTCACGGAATATGAACATTTTACATTCCTCACAAAAGATGGAATATAAATCCAATAAACAAATACTTAACAAGGAAAAGAATGGCATATTATTGATAAAAACTATGTGATTACCACCACCACCCAAGTTTCTGTGTATGTAAATGAAAGAGCAATGGGTGTGGCGTTATTGATGCATCATCAAAAATATAAGGACCTAAGGATGAAATACATTAGAATTTTCTGTTTCTGCATAATTTCCCATCCAACTGCAGTCATCATATGCAATGCTCTATTGTCATCAATAGTTGTTAATGAATAATTTCCTAATTCTAGAAACACATCATGCATTGTTATTTTTAACTGCATACACTCAGCCTGAACAGAAGTTTCAAATTCAATTCCCATAATTATAGAGGTATGGTAGTAACTGGCAGTCATGTGGATGGAGCAAACTACTACATTAGCCACAGGATGATCAGGATGATTATTTGCACAAATTATACTTTACCCTTCTATATTTTAAACCACAGAAACATGCTCAGGAAATACTACATTCACTAGATGAAAGAGGAACGTTCCATAAATTTTATTGCAGTAAAGTGTTCTTGGGAATGTTTTAATTTATCCAAAATTGAAATCATGCATAAAAGAATTATAAGTGTTCTGTAGCATGCTATAGAGCAGGTTTCCCCTCCTAATCTAATGCCCTCTGAATGGGAATGTTAGGAATTGAAGTCAAAGACCTTTGGATGATGGA